CCCCCCCCCCAACCTTTTGTCCCTGACGATTATTCGAATCCAGTCCATGTTTTTGTTTCGCTTGACTTCATTTTTCTTGCCCTTTTTTTTTTCTTTTTTCATATATAAGAAGTGCAGTCGGCGTTAATTCTCCTTCACTAGTGTGTGGGTAAAGAAAGACTAGGTCAGCCATGTGGATGCGTCTGTTGAACAGCTGAAGAGGAGGAGGAGGCTTTACGGAGACGAGGAGAGCGTGGAGTGTGTGTATGAAGGAGGGTGAGAAGAGGAGGGGGGAGTGTGTGTGTGAGAGAGAGAGTTTGTGTGTGTGTGTGTGGAAAAAGGAAGCAGAGCCTGTTAACGGAGAACTCGCTGGTTTCCTGCCCCTCGAAACAAGCGGCCGTGTTACTTTTCATGTGGACTGGATCACCGATGGCTCCAGCAGCGCGGGGCCGAAGAAAGGAGCACTTTTCCGGGGGGTGGGGTGGGGAAGACTTGGCTGACGCTCCGGTGCTTCTCTCTCTCTCTTTCGGCTCGGTTATTTCGGACGTGAGCAGTCTATCAGTAAAGTGAAACCGTCTTTTGTTGAGTACTCGCCTAAGCCCCCTCTCTCCTCGTCTGTACGGGCTGCCTTTTTTTTTTTTTAACGTGGATTTAAAAAAAGTGTCCCGTGTTCGGCTCGTTTCGTCCAGGTTCTTGGATTTGGTCCCACTCTGGCGTGCCTTGTTTTATTCAGCGGGTCACCTCGGGCAAGGGTCGTGCTTTCAACTTGTTTGCAGCAGTCTGTGGGACTCCAAAGAATCACCAGACTGGCGGGTGAGTATTTGTATAGACAGGGGGAAAAAGTACAAAAAGAAAAAGCTTGCAGGATGGTTGTTTAAAGTGTGGGAGTGTATAAATGAAACATAACTGGAGCTGTAGTGGTGACTAAAAGCCGGGTAGCACTTGTAGTTTCAGTTAAAAGTTGCCTGATTTTGTTTTTACCCGGAGGAGGAAGTGTGAGTGACCTGGAGTCAAATGTTTTGAGTGCTCAGAGGCAGAAAGGAGGGGGCTTAAAGTAAAACTTGTCTCTCTCTAAACTGTTTTAGACCCCAGAGCAAACCTCAGGGACCTGATTGGTGTAAAACAGAGCTTTAATGACCACTTGGTGTAGAACAATAAAGCAAACATGACAGAGCCCTGCTGCTCAGGAAACAAACATAAAAAATGCTTTGAAAATCTGCTTTGTCTGCTTTTTATTTTGGGGACTCCCAACTACAGAGGCAACAAAAAAAGCTTATTTTTAATAGAAGACGCGTTAAAAAGAAAGGGATTTCCCTTAATTTCCTTTTAGAGACTTGGAAGTGTCACAGCAAGCTCTCTGTCATGAACTGATTGTAGGTCTGTAAAGAAAAAAAGTTATTTTTCTATTTAGAAGTATTTGTGTGAGACCGCTGTACCAGTTCCAAACTGTTGAAGGACCCCCAAATTAACTTGACACACACTCACCCCCCACCTCTCTCCATCTGAACTCCTGAGGCTTTGAACTCTGGCCTGAGCACATGCAGCTCTCACTGTGTGTGTGTGTGTGTGTGGGG